ATATTATGTCGTATTTAAATTGTGTTTTGAAATTTCTTCGATGTACAAAAGTAAAGAGTGTTTAATGCTTACTTATCTTGTTGCGTATAATAGAAGATTTGCGTATAATAGAAATTAATTGGGAAATTTATTTTTAAGGTATATTCGTAAAAATACTTGGAGAAAATACATTTAAATTTTATTAATAATAAAAATGAAACGAATAAATAAAAGGAATGATTATATTTAACATATTTTTTAATAAAGGATTAATTTAAAATACGTTTAGAAATATAAATGAAAAAGAACAATTTTCTTTATTCGATATCTTAAAATATTTCTTTCAAAAAATTTCCTTTCGAAAAGTTTCTTTTGCATTCGATATAATTATTTCACGAAAATCTTCTAAATAGGATCATATTTGTTAATTAAATATTTTTAATATTTTTAAATTATATATTACATTTGTAATTATTCTTCGAATCTTTTTTTTATTATCCACAACAGATGTTGTACACGAAAATTATTCTTATTTATAGCTATAACTATAATAATTTTTAATTTTATCTTATACACCTTATTGTACGTGAAAAGGATTGATCGATAAAATCTTTGAATTCACATGTTTCACATGTTTCGTATAATAATAATTTCTAAATAATTTTTTACAAAAAAAAAAGATGTAAGAAAAGAACACTTCTAAAAATTGAAAATTGTTTTAATTTTTTTTAGTCAGAAAATGATAGCGAAGAATGCGCTCATTCGCCTATATTGTTGGATCTAGATAAAAATTCTAAACAGCAACAGCAAGAAATCTTAAATCAAGAGAAATGTTCATCGTCTAAATTGCCCAATGTCAATCAATATTTGCAAGATCAGTTAATAAGAAATGGATCAGGTATATTCATGGTATATATTCATATTAATTCGTAATATTTATTTATATATGTATACATTTAATTTTTTCCCTATACAATATGCAGGACATGATATGTAGACACATATAAAGGATATAATTGACAGGTTTATACAAAGAAATATTTTTTATATGTTTATATAATATTATTCAATTAATAAAGTTATATCATCTTATTATTTATTGATATTGAACAATATTAAATTTTTGTTTAATATTAAATAATATAAATTTAATATTTAATATTAGATATCATATAATAATATTTTATCATATGATAAAAATATCTTACCATCGAATACTTTATCGTGAATTATAATATCAACTTCTGATAATTTATTATTTCAAATTATTAAGATATAAAAAAATATTTCAAAATAATAATTATTAGAAAATAATAAATAAAATATATAAAATAATAAATAAAATATATAAAATAATTA